GTGTTTTGCAGCTGCTGTACCTCATCTCGTGTCCATGCTGATTGCAGCTGAGCGAGACCCGGATGCACCAGACATCCCGACCCCGCGCTCTTACGTAGAGGCGATTACGGGTCCCTACTCCTCTCAGTGGCAGACAGCCATGGACGCAAAGATGACATCCTGGAAGTCCACAGGCACTTACGTCGACGAGGTTCCCCCTCCTGGGGCGAACATAGTCGATAGCATGTGGATTTTCAGGGTGAAGCGGCCGCCAGGTTCTCAGGCTGCCTTCAAGGCTCGTTACGTTGCACGAGGCTTCAGACAGCGACAGGGAGTTGACTTCTTCCAGACCTTCTCCCCTACCCCGAAGATGACCACTCTTCGGGTACTGCTGCACGTCGCCGCTCAGCGTGACTACGAGCTTCACTCTCTTGACTTCAGCACAGCTTTCTTACAGGGCAGCCTGCACGAGGAGATCTGGCTGCGCCGCCCACTTGGCTTCACTAGGTCGTTTCCTGCATGTACCCAGTGGAGTCTCCGGCGGCTAGTCTACGGTCTCCGCCAGGCGCCTCGCGAGTGGCACGACACACTGAGGACGACTCTTGCGGCTCTTGGGTTTGCTCCTTCGACTGCTGACCCCTCGCTGTTTCTACGCACCGACACTTCGCTGCCGCCGTTCTACATCCTCGTGTACGTCGACGACTTGGTCTTTGCCACTACTGACACTGAGGGACTATCCCTAGTGAAGTCGGAGCTGCAGAAGAGACACACGTGCATAGACTTGGGTGAGCTGCGCAGCTATCTTGGCTTGCTGATCACTCGGGACAGAGCACGGCGCACCATTACCTTGACTCAGTCACACATGGTGCAGCAGGTCCTTCAGCGCTTCGACTTTCAGTGTTCCTCACCACAGTCCACTCCTCTGCCTACCGGTCACTCGCTCTCAGCTCCACCTTCGGACGAGTCCGTAGAGCCGAGTGGCCAGTATCCAGAGCTTGTGGGCTGCCTCATGTACCTGATGACCTGCACTCGACTTGACCTTGCATACCCTCTTAGCATCCTGGCACGCTACGTTGCGCCCGGGAGACACCTACCAGAGCACTGGAAGGCCGCTAAGAGGGTGATGCGCTACTTGTGCAGTACGTCGGGCATGGGGCTCGTGCTTGGAGGACGGGGCCCAGTTGTCCTCACTAAACACGCAGACGCCTCTTGGGTTGACGACTTGGCTACGCAGCGGTCGTCACACGGTTACACCTTCAGCCTTGGCTCTGGCTCTGTTTCTTGGCGGTCTACCTGCTCGTCTTCTGTTCTTAGTTCCAGTTGTGAGGCTGAGATCTACGCAGGGGCCATGGCTGCACAGGAGTTACGCTGGCTCACCTACCTGCTGACCGACTTGGGAGAGCCGCCTCGTTCTCCTCCAGTTCTGTACGTCGACAACAAGGCCATGAATTCCTTGTTTCAGGAGCACAGACTGGAGCACAGGACGAAGCACATCGCTCTGCAATACTTCCTTGCTCGTGAGTTGCAGCAGCGTGGTCAGCTTCATCTTGTTTACGTGGCCTCTCGGGCCAACACTGCTGATATCTTCACCAAGGCACTTCAACCTTGTGATCATCAGCGTTTCTGTACTGTTCTAGGCCTTGTGGCTACTTGGCCTCACTTGCTTACTTCTTGACTTTGCTTGTATTGTGATCTATATACTTATACCTGCATGCTTACACTTGCTAGGTTTTGATCACTGTACTGCTTGTTCTGCATTATATAACTCTGCATGTGAACTGGCCTTGTGGCCATTTGCTTGTGCTCAGAGTGTGTGGTGACTTCGTGATCCACCCTGAGCTTGCTTTGCTTTTCTTGACTGGTCTTGTGACCTCTTGTTCTCCCCCACTTTGCCTATGGGGGTGTGTCAAACTTATATGCTGCATATTGTGTAGGCTATAGTTGGGTAGCCCATATGGGGTACAACCCAATTAGGGTTTGCTACTTGTACTCCTGCATGCTGCCAGTTCATCCATTCTCATTCATTCTGCTGACAGTGCCTAGATGATCAGACATGGCACTAATTACCGTGTCGATTACGCTGGCCGCCAGTGCCTCCTTGTACAACAGGAAATTTAAAAAGGAATAAGAATCGGAAAACGTGACGAAGAGGATAAGGTGCTTCCCACTGCACCAATCTGTGCTCTCGTCGATGGAGATGCCGATGAAGGGACTTGATAGCACATGCTCCAGCTGGGTTGTTTGAAGCCATGTTGCAGTCGCTTGCGTTAACTCCCCGAAGCCATACATGCACATATAGAACATTGTCAGTAGACATTCTAGGTCAAAACACCAACGTACATAGACAACAAGTAGCAGATCCACTCACGTGGTGCAGTAGGCGTCGTACCCCTTCTTGAGGAAACCCTTAACGCCCTTCTTCGCCAGGTACCGCACAAGCCTGACCCACATCCCCATTGGTGCATCGCACTTGCTGACGAACAGCAACGAGTCGAGAAGGCTGACAACAAGCAGCTTCTCCTCGTCGACAATGGCTTGATCTTGGTCGCCATCGACAGCTTGTGCTTCTGTGTGTTGGCATGCTTACGGAAGGACTGGATCTGCACGTCAATGATACCTTTCCCGCGCCTCCTGCACTTGCCTGCGTCGCCAGCATGGGCTGAACAAACAGTGCACTTAAACGCAGGCAACCCCGTGGTAGGTTTAGTAAGAACAAACCAGGAAAAACGAGTGGACCAGTGAGTCTTGTACTTCTCAACTGCATCCTCGTAGATATCTTCGATGAGCTGTGCCAAGTTGATATGCAATCGTGGACAAGGCCGTTCAGATGGGCCGGGCTGGTTGTTGTCGACCACAGTCGTCGCACAAGCCTTTGCGAACCTCAACGTTGCCACCTTGAGTCGGACGTTGCGCACCGTAGGAGTAATGGCTAGGGCCTGACTGACATGGTGTGAGGCGGAACCAACAGTAGGTTCTTGGGCTGTCTCTCCTATAGCATCAGGAGCGTCTGAGACTAAAGGTGCAGGTTCTTTCGGGGTCGAGTTATTAATAGGCGTGGAGTGTGCCGTCTTTTAAAGTGCTAGCGAGCTAAGCAAAAAATCTAAGCCCGTTCTAGCATGACATGCACCATCATCGTCATCGGCATCGTCGCCATCGTCCTGGAAAGTCATGGCGGGGTCAGAGAGAGCGTGCCGCCGAGCAGAAACGGGGGTGGTACTTTGAGACTGAAGGACTCGGTGGGGATTGAGTTGAAGCTGTTAGAATAAGCAAGAATGAATGATTGAACTAGGCAAGAGGTGAGTACAAGTAGGGGAAACCTAACCCTAAAGTGTTGTACTCACTAAGGAGTGACCCTACTGTAGCCTAGAGATACAATTGTAATCTGACAAAAGCACGGGGATGAAACCCTAGCTCAAGGACGATGAACCTTTACCCTTTGCCACCGTCCATGGAGTGGGCGGTTGCTTAGCATGCAACGACGATGCGCTGCTGCCGTGCACTGCTGTGTACGGTGTTTCGTGGCTGCCAAATGCAGCAACGTGGGTACTGGCGGAGACCTTATTTGCTGTCAAATTCAATCAAAAGGACCAATCATCACACAAAAATGGTATGTGCTGGTGCTAACGAGGCGAATACCACGCCGCAACGCAGCGTCACCTAAAAACATCTGATTGTTGTCACTGTTATTTTATAGAGTGAGTGACGGGACATCAAATGCCAGCGTTAATCGCTGTTGTCGGCACAAATCTAGGTACTTTGAATCAGAGTAGGTACGCGTTAGTACCGTACTCTGAAGTAAAGTATCAGAGTACCGAAAAAAATCTGAAATTTCAGAGAATGCCTTATACGGTAAAAAAGGCTAAAACTTCAAAATTAAGGCCCTACAAAAATATGAACTTTCAGAGTCCACTATAAAAATAAAAAGCTGAATTATCAAAGTTTTATTTATGCAAATCAGAGAAATTTCTGACTTCTGGGGGCCTGATAACAACAAAGAAATAAACCCTTGCTTACACGAACTACCGTACGGTAGTTGGATGCCTAGCTTGCCTAGCAAACTCAGATGACTACGCCATGTACACCACTGTTCTAACATTGATATTATCAAATCGCTTCCTTTCTCCATTCATCAAATTGCAGCCAACTTTCTTTGAAACCTTCCCTGTTGACACCCATAATACACTTGTAATCAGTAGCTTCTTAGGACGACGACAGCGGTGGGAACAGGGTGTCAGTGGGTACGTGCAAGTGGGGTGTCATCTCCAGGACTTGGTCATCTGGACCAGGCAGGCTTGAAGGAGAGAGCAGAGGCTTAGAGTGTGGCATGGTGATCAGTGGGATTGAGCAGTGGGTAAGAGGGTGGTGATCAGTGGGATTGAGCAGTGGGTAAGAGGGTGGTGATCAGTGGGATTGAGCAGTGGGTAAGAGGGTGGTGATCAGTGGGATTGAGCAGTGGGTAAGAGGGTGGTGATCAGTGGGATTGAGCAGTGGGTAAGAGGGTGGTGATCAGTGGGATTGAGCAGTGGGTAAGAGGGTGGTGATCAGTGGGATTGAGCAGTGGGTAAGAGGGTGGTGATCAGTGGGATTGAGCAGTGGGTAAGAGGGTGGTGATCAGTGGGATTGAGCAGTGGGTAAGAGGGTGGTGATCAGTGGGATTGAGCAGTGGGTAAGAGGGTGGTGATCAGTGGGATTGAGCAGTGGGTAAGAGGGTGGTGATCAGTGGTAAAAAGGGGAGTGAAGCACAAACGGGGTGTCATGTCAGGGACGAGTGGTTTGACTGGGCAGGGGAGGCAGAGGGCGAGCAGGCAGCCTTGCAGAGCGGCATGGTAATCAACAGGCAGGAGGCTTGAGTGAGTGGAGAGAGGAAGAGGGGTGAGGCTGAGGAACAAGTGGGGTTGTCATCTCAGGGACGAGTGGTTGGACTGGGAGGGGGAGGCTGTAGGGCGAGCAGGCAGGCTAGGGCAGAGATGAGAAGCGCAGAGAGTGTGATGGCGCAAGGCGGATGAGTGGGAGTGGGGATGTCATCTGAGGGAGGAGTGGTTGGACTGGGCGGGAGAGGCGTAGGGCGAGATGGCAGCCTTGCAGAGCGGCATGAGGGACTGCACCACATCATCCATGTGCGGCCTGTAGTCTGGGTCTGCCTGCAGGCACACTGCTGCTACAGAGGCCGCCTGGTGAAGGGAGGCAGGGAGGGGATGGGGGCAAGCAAGGGAGGGTGGGGGATGAGGAGGCGAGATGGCAGAGCGGCATGAGGGACTGCACCACATCATCCATGAGGGGCCGGTAGTTTGGGTCTGCCTGCAGGCACACTGCTGCCGCTGACGCAGCCTGGTGTGTGGGATGATGTAGAGGGAGAGGAAGGGGATAGTAGTCTGGATCCAACCTCATCCGTGTGCGAGTCTGGATCCAACCCCATCCGTGTGCGAGTCTGGATCCAACCCCATCCGTGTGCGAGTCTGGATCCAACCCCATCCGTGTGCGAGTCTGGATCTGCCAGGACACACACTGCTGCTATCGATGCAGCCTGGTGAAGGAGGGGGCAAGGGAGGGGGAAGGGTGGAGGCATGAGGGACTGACCCACGTGGTCCATGTGCGTCCAGACACGCTGATGCTACCGCAATCGCCTGCTGTGGAAGGGAGCAGCAGGGAGGGAGGAACGCACGGGAAGGAGGAATAGGGGTGCGGCATGAGGGACTGCACCACATGGGCCATGTGCGGCTGTAGTGTGGGTGTGCCTGCACGCACACGCACACCGCTGCCACTGACTCCGCCTGGAGTGTGGGGTGGAATAAGCAGGGGCGGGTGGGTTGAAAGAAATAGACGGCACCAACTCGTGAACGGGGGAAGGCGCAATGCCATTTAGCCGAGCCACGGGTCCACTAATTCCCACCCACTCCCATGCGTTGTAGGCGCTTTTACGGGACACGGCGTTTTTCGAGATCCACTTTTTTTCACACAATATTTTCCTGCGGCTGAAGCGTCCTTTTCACACACTGCAGCCTTCTGCCAGGTATGAACGAACTAGTGCAGCAGAGGCACAGTGCCATCCAGCCACTGGTGCCTGGCCTTATGCACCAATACTCGCCCCCACTCCCATCCCATGTAGAGCCCCCCATCCGATGTCTCTATGCACCACCATCAACCACTCTGAACCGTACATGCATTAAGTGGTGCAAGGGCACGGGGTGCCATGGAGGCGTGAGTCCAGCAGCTCTCCCAGCGTCGCACAGCAACAACACCACCACCGCCCGCCCCACTCCTATGTGCACCACGCCCTGAATATCTCGACGCTTCTTTGCCCCTATGCAACCGCCACAGGCATCAACTCCCCACCCACCAGGTCCCCACATCCCACCTGCATGAACTCGTGCAGGGGAACAGTCCCATCCAGACGCGGGTCCAGCAGCTCTCCCAGCCTCTCTCGTTGCGTCAGCAGCGGCAGCGCCTGTTGGGGGGAGGTGGGGAGGCACGAGGAGGTGGGGTGGTTGGGTGATAGAGAGGCACGAGTCGAAATGAGAGGCAAGGGAGCAAGGTAGTGAGTACTTAATATTCTTGAGTGCAGGCATCAAGGGCTGAGGACGGCTGGGTGGTAGCGAGACAGGGGCAAGTCGCAATAACAGCAGCCCCTTCCTCTCTCCCCCAACCTCCCTCTTCGTCACAACCACTCACCCAGGGCGTCAGCCACACCCTGTACGGACGTTTGAGACGTCTCAACTCAACGACTCACCCAGGGTGTCAGCCACACCTGTCGTGGTCGATGGGGACAAGCCCTGTGAGCAGCTCCAGCAGCACCTTCCGCCCCCTCCCATCTCCTTTCCCCCTTCCTCCCCCCTATGGCATCACAATGACTCACCCAGGAAGTGAGGGAAACTCTATTGGGAGGCCTGTCGTGGTCAATGGGCACGAGCCCTGTGAGCAGCTCCAGCAGCACGATGCCAAACGAGTACACGTCTGACTTGGGGGTCAGGCGACCTGTGGTAACGTATCTGATGAGGGTGAGGGAGGGGGGAACAGAGAGGGGGAAAAGGAGCATGGGAGGTCGGACGGCACGAGCCCTGTCAGCAGCTCCAGCAGCACAATGCCGATGCCAAACGAGCAACTCAGGGTAATTTTCCCTTGGCGGTGCTTAAGGTGATTCACCCTCGGATATTACTCACTCAGGGGACAAGTAACCTGTGGTGCCCAGTACACGTGTCGACACTCACTGCTTCTCCGAACTGGCCCACCAGGGGTAAGCACCGTACCTTAGGGTAATCTACCCTCGGTAACTACTCACTCTGGGGACAAGTAACCTGTGGTGCCCAGTACTCGTGTTGACACCCACCGCTTCTCCCCACTACACCCACCAGAAGCGACTGGCCGATATACCCAAGGGAAATTCACCCTCGATAATTACTCACTCTGGGGACAAGTAACCTGTGGTGCCCAGTACACGTGTCGACACCCAACGCTTCTCCCCACTTGGACCATCCCGAGCCAACCCAAAATCAGCAATGCGCGCATGGAAGCTGTGAGGTCCGGGGGAAGGAAACGCACGGAGGAAAGGGTAAGTGGTGCTGTGAGGTGAGGTTCCCACTGGGGCCGTCCCGAGCCAGCCCAAAGCCAGCAATGCGTGCAGGGCAACTGATGCAAGGAAAACTGATGCAAGGGAAACCGATGCAAGGAAAACTGATGCAAGGGAAGCTGATGCAAGGAAAACTGATGCAAGGAAAACTGATGCAAGGGAAACTGATGCAAGGGAAACTGATGCAAGGGGAGGGGAAAAGGGGGGCGAAAAGGGGAGCGAGAAAGTGAGGAGAAAGGGACACGTGGTGACGTGAGTCTCGCCCCCAATGGGGCCGTCCCGAGCCAACCCAACCCTAAATTCCGGTGAATGACTGGCGGGTTGGCGACGTGGTGCATGCATGCGGGAACATGAGTCGCTGTGGTGCATGCGGGAACATGAGTGGCTGTGGTGCATGCGGGAACATGAGTGGCTGTGGTGCATGCGGGAACATGAGTGGCTGTGGTGCATGCGGGAACATGAGTTGCCACACACCAAGGACTCACCTGTAAACCAGGCACCTCGCACCTCGCACTGCGTGCAGCAGCAGCAGCAGCAGCAGCGGACTCACTCGTGGTCCACCAGCACGTTGCTGCTCTTGAAGTCGCGGTGAATGACAGCGGGGGTGGTGGCGTGGTGCAGGAACATGAGCCCGCGGGCGGCGTCCAGAGCGATCTGCATGCGCTGCTGCCACTCCACCTGCGGCCTCTCCCTCCCAAACCGCTGCATGAAGCTTCCTGGAAGGGGGGAGAAGGCCCAGAAAAAGAGGCAGGAAAAAAAAGGAGGGGGGGAAAAGCAAAAATCGGTGGAAAGGGACAAAAGGGAGATGGGAGAGGCGAGTTGCCTCTGTTAATGTATAAACGTGGGAGGCAAGAACCACTTCTTATCTCAAACTCACCATCACAGTCATTGTGCCAGAGGTTGTACACCAGAAATATATTGCTCTCCAAACCACTCTATAACGCGTGTAACACATCCTATATACCCATAACACATATCATTCCACACTCACCATCACTGCTGTTATCATGAAGCAAGTCGCTCAGGCTCCCATTCCCCATGAGATTGTACACCAGCACCCTGCTCCCCCCTGCAATGCTGTAGCCCACCAGATGCACCAGATGCGGCGACCTGAGCCGACTCAGCAGCTCCACCTACAAGGGAGATGGGGTGACGGGAAGGAGGGGAAGGAAGAGAAGGAGGAGAGGGAGGAGAGACATGAGATTGTACACCACCACCCTGCACCCCCCTGCAATGCAGTAGCCCACCAGATGCACCAGATGCGGCGACCTGAGCCGACTCAATCAACAGCTCCACCTGCTGCAAGACCAAGGGACGGGGGATGGGGGATAAGGTTGCACGTTGGGGAGTGGTAGACAACGGCATGACCTGTGCCTCATCTGTGCCTGAAACTCCTGATCGCAATCCAGGCCTTAAGCCCAAAACCCCGGACCAAACCCCAAACTCGAGAGCTATCGTCTCACCTCTGCCCGGAACTCTCGCCTCTGCCTGGAACTCTCACCTCTGCCTGGAACTCTCACCTCTGCCTGGAACTCTCGGTCGCCCTGGCTGCTCCCCGCTTCCAGCACCTTCACGGCCACGCCAGCCCCCGCCAGCCTTCCGCAGTACACGCGCCCAAACCCGCCCGACCCAATCACGTTCGCCTCTGCCAGGTTGTCCGTTGCTCCCTGGACGGAAAGAACAGAGGGGGGCGGGGGAAGGGGGAAGAAGGGGGAGGGAGGAAGTTAGCTATGAACCACTCCGCAACTCACAAGTCTAAACTCCGCCATACGCCGTCCCTTGGCGACTTATGACGAATCACCAGAGCACTCACCAGGACATCTTCATACGTCAACTCCATCACCGTGTTGCTCAGGCTGCGCCCGGGCAGCATCAGCCTATACTCCGCCATATTGCGCCCCGACTTTAAAGACCCCACAGAGGCCCCAGGCGTCTGCACGCTGCTATTGCTACTATGAGCCGCATATCCTCCCCCACCTCCCCCGCTTCCCCCTTCCCCTCCGCCGATTCCGCCCCCCGCTTCCGCGGCTATAGCCGCTGCTAGCCCCGGGCCTGCCACGTGGCTCATCGGTTGGCTCGGCGTCTGGCTCGGAGTGCGGCTCGGGAACTGGCTCGACATGTTGCTGCCAGGCTCGGCAGCCGATGCGTACGCCGAGGCTGGCGCGTACGGTGACGCCGCGCCGCCTTCCACGGTAACGCTTTGCACGCCGCTGTGCGCGGCGCTGTTCACGCCGCTATGCACGCCGCTATGCACGCCGCTATGCACGGCGCTGACTGCGGCGCCCCAGCCGCTGTGGTTCGACGCACCGCTGTGCGGAATCATGGCGGAGGGGTCGTGCGGGGGAAGGAGATTCGCGCCATGGTCGTTGTGAGCGGGAACCGCGGCGGACGGAGCGGCAGGGCCGTGAGCTTGTTGCTGATAGGCAGATACTGTGCCTGTAGTGATAGGGTGGGGATAGAAGGGGGAGGAAGGGGGGGGGAAGGGGGGGGAAAGGAAGGGGGGAAGGGGAAAGAGTGGGCGGAAAAGGGCGCAGGCGGAAGAGGGAAGGGGGGGGAGACGAAAGGAGGGGGGAGACGGATGAAGGGGAGAATGAGACACGGGGCTGGAGGGTAACAGCCTACTGGAAAGCGCAAGCTGTAGGAGCCCAAAATACAACAATAAAGTGCACAACCAGTAAAGGACAGAATAGACCAGAAGCAGTATGAGTCAGCCCGTAATACACAATAGACCGGAATTCAAAGAAAAAAACAAACAAAAAACAAAAACAAAACAAAAGAAGTACTCACCAAGATCAGCCACCTTTCCAGTCCCTGGCCATAGCCTTCCAAACACTCCCCCTCCACCACCTCCCCTCTTCCCCGCATTCCCCGCCGCATATCCCGCCGCGGCAACCGCGCCGGCTGTCCCGTAATCCCCCCCCCGCCCGTCCGCGCCCGCCGCGACGTCTTTAATCGGCGCAAAGTCCTTGGTCTCCGCGCGGCGGCGCCGCAGGTAGATGTAGAGCAGCACGAGCGCGACGCCCAACAGGAACGCGACCACCACGCCCGCCGCTATGCCCACGTATAGCGCAATGCTATTGGTGGACGGCGACTCGGCAGGGGCAGGAGGAGGGGAAGAAGAGGAGGACGGGGAGGAAGAGGAGGTAGAGGCGAGAGAGGAATCGTCCAACGACGCTGTGCTGTTGTCACTGCTGCTGCTGCCGCTGCTGCTGTCACTGCTGCTGCTGCTGCCGCTGCTGCTGTCACTGCTGCTGCTGCTGTCACTGCTGCTGTCACTGCTGCCGCTGCTGCTGTCACTGCTATCGCTGCTCGTGGACCCCGCATTGTCCGGCGGAACTTCTATAGCCGGCGTCTTCGTTTCGCCGGCTGCTGAGTGCGGCGGAGAGGAGGTCTCGTCGGAAGGCGCAGACACGGATTTAGGCGGTAGCGACGGGGAGCGGGTTGTACCGGGGACGGGGCTACTATCGGGGGATTCGTTTGTAGGCGGCTCTAGAGGAACAGCGGGAAGACGCACTTTATCCGGACTGCTTTTTGGTGGGATCGTCCCAACTGGCGGCTTGACGGCAGGCGGCTTGGCGGCCGGCAATGGCTTGACGGCAGGCGGCTTGACGGCAGGCGGCTTGGCTGCCGGCAATGGCTTGACGGTTGGCGGTTTGGCAGCCGGCAAAGGCTTTGTCGTAGGGGGCTCAGCAGCAGGCGGCTCAGCAGTAGAATTCCCCCTTTTGCCTGCCTTCCCTCCTCGACCCTTCTTCCCGCGTCCCTTCCTTCCCGAGCCCTTCTTTCTTCCTGTCTTAACCAGCCCCGGAATTTCCGGGCCCGGGGCGTCTGGCTCCGGTATTATCGAGATGGGGTCTGACGTCAGCGGGGGAGGCGCGCCGGCGGTAAGGTTCGTGGAAGGTGCGACCTCGAACGGGTTTCCCGAAACGTCGAGTGACTCTAACGCGGTCAGGCGGCTGAACGACGCGGGAAGCAGCCCCGTGAAATTGTTGTTCCGCAAATCGCTTTGGGATTCGGGGGGACGCGGCAATGACGTAAGAGGATGAGTCGAAAGAAACAAAAAAAAGAGACAACGAACCAACCGGAACCTGAACAGAAAGGACATTTTATCCTCAATGTACAATAACAAAGGAGTGTAGTTATGTCATCTAGCCTTACAGTTTCGTGAGCTCCACGAGGTCGCCGATCGCCTCTGGGATCTCCCCTCCCAGATTGCAGTTCGGCAGCTCTCTGCAGGAAAGAGTGTGGGGGGTGGAAGGGGGAAAGGGGAGGGGGGTAGTGGGAGAGGTGGGGAGATGGTGGGGTTTGTGGGGAGAGGGCCAAGGGGAAGAGTGCGAGGGGAGGAGACGGGGTGAGGAGGGGGGCGGTTGGAGAAGAGAGAGAAGGGGGGAGATCAGGAGGTTATGCAAGCTGGTGAAACGGTCGGACTGCTAGTCATTTCGCGGAAACGTTTTCTCAAAGATAGCACTCTGATTACACAGCGTATGCCGCGATAAGGCCTTGCAGCGGTTTTGCCGTGGGACGATGGCCCGTCGGCGATACGACCGCGATGACGAGCCGCAGTGGTCGCCGAACCAACTCTTGCACGACTCCAACTCTTGCACGACTCCAACTCTTGCACGACTCCAACTTCGACTCCCCGCAAGTCGACCTGCTAGTCGATTAAAGATGTCTACGCCTAAACGGAACTGTACCGAAGCAACTTACATCGCGACAACGGTCCATCGATGCTTCGACCGCGTCGACTCCCCGCAGTTCACGCCGAACCACTCCTTCTTGCACGGCTCGAAGCCCTGCCAGTCCGCCAAAGCCGAAGCGTTGCTCACAGAGAGCTTGAACACCTGCAGCGCGGACACTGGTGGTTGGAGTGAGGTGCAGGGTAGGAGGGAAAGAATATAAAGATATAAACCAAACCAGAACAAATGTAGTGTAGGTTTGACAATGTGGTTCGATACAAGCCCTCCAGGCCAGAGCGTTGCTCACGGACAGCTTGAACACCTGCAGCGCCGGCACTGGTGGTTGGAGCGAGGAAGTGGGTGGGTGAGAAGAAATTAGCAATCATATAAAAAAAAAAACGGAAAGTGGGTTCAGAATTGTGGTTTGACACAAGCCCTCCAGTCCGATGCGTTGCTCTCGGGGAGCTTACACACCTGCAGCGGCGACATTGGTGATTAGAGTGAGTGGGAGATAGAGGGATACGGGAAAAACGAGGTGTGGGGACGTGGGGTGGAAACCATATAGCAGGGCCTCTGCCAGTCCGTCACCACCGACGCGTCAATTACGGGTAACTTGAACGGCTGCAGTGCGTATGCTGATCGACCAATGTCGGCGTGTGGGGAAAGAGGGGATGGGGAAGAAGGGGGAGACGGGGAGGGGGGGAGGGGGAGAGGGAGGCCTGGGGGAGTAGACTCGATTCCGAAATTCCGAAGTGCATGCGCCAGTTGATGGTGATTTCGTGAATGCGTCGGCTGCATACGTGCCAGAATTTTCTTTCTGTTGCATTGGCGGCAAATTGATTTCTGAATGAACACACGAGCGTGGTGTGGTGTCTTGGCACACGGGCCGGGCTGTGCAGCAGCCAGATCAGATGCGCGCGTTGCAACACACGGACTATAACGGACTATAACGGACTACAACGATATCAACCAGAGGACGAGCTGAATGTCAACCAGAGGACGAGCTGAATGTCAACCAGAGAAACCTACCGTCTCCCATGACGGTCTTGGCGTGAGCTCTTGAACTCCAATGCGACGCTGCGACCAGCAGCAGCAGCAGCCACATCAGCTGCGCTCCTCGTTCCAGATCCATCACCCTTCTTCGTTGCCCCGTCGCGAGGTTATCTGTTAGCCTCCCCGGCAACGCCTCCACCCTTCTCCGACAATATGAGTTTTGAGACGACTCGATCACACAGCGTTAACTACTCCCCACGCCTCCACTCTATCCCGAGGCGCTCGGCAGCCTTTTAAGGCCTGATACGTCTTCGACAGTCCGCTTGCCTACTCTATACCAGGTCCTCGTGACACCCCTACTAGCACGTGTCACTGACAGAGATCGTAAAGACAGGGTTGCCTTATTGTAGGCCTTGAGAATCCTGACGAGGACGAGTCGAATTGAGAAATCACCTAAAAACAGCTTGTGCTGGAAAATCTGGGTGCACCAAGTGATGTCGCTATGCGGTCGTATGTCACTTTACGAAGCACACAACTGAAAGACGAAGTTTCTTTGTCGACTCAAAAATCGACCAGAAAGTCCAAGCCTGGGTTGTGGGTAACGAAAAATGGCGGACTCGCTAACGAGATGAAACTTCAGCCAATCGAGACTTACCTGACGGCAATCGGCGATGGCCTAGACCATGTCGTGCTGAGGACTATCTAGAGCATGAGTAGGGCTTTACCATACCCAGCCGAGGGCTGTTGGCACGAGGGCTGGAGGAGGATTGTTGGCGACCCCAACGTGCCGAGTCGCGAGCAAGCAGTGGGGAGGAGCAGAGTCAGGTCGTGTTGGGGATGGCTGGACGTGAATCTGCTGACGGTCGAGATGAGAGTTGACATTGAAAATGCGTGTCAGATTGAAAATGCGTGTCAGACGGAGGAGCACGAAGAGTGAAGCTGTTGGCCTGTTGTCAGTTGCTTTGAGCAGCTAATATCAGGCATTGAGCTTATAGTACACTTAGGTGGTGCCTTACAAAGAGGTAAGAATCTACAGATTTATTTGCACTTATAATAACATTATGCAATATTACTGAACTAGTATGTCCTACGTAAGTGGTCAGCTGATTCTCCCGTTATTATCAAAGCTGCTACAATACCCCTATCCTTGTTCAGATATTTCCTCAAAACCTGGTAAATTAACTTATAAACGGGAAGAATTAGGTATTTGATAAATTTTATGTTGCGATATGGATTGTATGAGAATACATTCCTGTACGCAACAGGAGCTAACACTATCGAGTACAAAGGTGATGAGTCAGGCGAACCGAAGCGATGGAAGCGTTGTTAGGCAACGACCAAGCCCTCGGATTGGTTTTGGGCTAGTCTGAAAATTCAGAGTTGGTACATGACTTAACTCTGAAAATCAGAGTTTTTCCTGCAGAAATACCACTGCACACTAGAAAAAATCGCATTTTTCCTGGTTTTTCTCAAAAAAAGGGCTGATTTTTCAGAGTTCACTTTAAAAAAATGCTGAAATATCAGAGTTTTTTAGGCAAATCAGAGAAATTTCTCTGACTTCTGGGGGCCTGGCAACGACCGATGCAGGCAGAAGAATTTGAACTGGAAATGGCGGGAACGGGATTGAAACGGGTTCCCGCGCCGCACAGTTGGATTTCGTTGCGATAAGGGAATGTACCCCTTATAGTACATGGATAGCTAGAACTTTTCGCATTGCTTTGTATTTCTATATAAACCAATATATGCCTTTGCTATAATCACTTCTTCAGTCATTTACATTCACTCTAATATGAGGTCACTTATTTCCGTTGCAATAACTCTCTGCGATCAACCTTGACGATCCCGGTCTTAGAAAGTAAACAGCGGAATGATTGACTAGTATGTTGAACTGAGAAATGCCTTAGGATCTTTTAGAGTTTAGTCCTTGTGATATTATGCAGCGGAAGACTGGAATTTCTGTGCTGGTCAAGTGTGAGAACAATAATTAATACAAGCGATTTATAGTTTAGGAAAGTACATATTCAGTGATGTACCTGTTCATGAGACGGGCTGAATATCGAGTCGACTCTATGAAGCGGTATAATCATGTGTCATGCGAACAGTGTCAGAATAGCGTGCAGGAATGTATGACTAGAAGTGTGAGATGAGTACAAATAGGTCTAACCCTAAAGTGTTGTATGTCAGAATCCCAGTCACTAGACCACTGGGATAAAATGGCTTGTTAAGTAGCGGGTCAGTGCGCCCATAACCCCCCAGGACAACGAGCCTGTAACCCTTCCCTAGGATCAATCGGGGATCTCCAGTGGACCTCTGACATTGTACTCAATAGAGGAACAGCAAGAACAGCAAGCGGTCACAAGACCAGTCAAGAGAAGCAACAAAGCAAAGTACAGGGTGGATCTCAAGATCACTGTCAGAATATGTTGTTTGTGTAGCCTGCAGTGAGGTACTCAATAGTGAGTACAGCCCTTTAGGGTTTGCTATTTGTATCCTGCTGCTTGCTAGTACAATCATTCCCTTTCTCAATTCTGTTCCTGCACACAACTCTCGCTCGTACTTGACGCCTCGTTCTAGTCTTCCTGTGGCCTAGGCTACTAAGCCTAGGCCCGACTACTTAGTATGTTTGACAATCACCACACAGTTCGAGCACAAGCAAGCGGCCACAAGGCCAGTTCACATGCAGTGTGATAACAACAAAACAAGTACAAATATCACAACCTAGCAAGTGTACGCATGCAGAGAGCAGAAGTGTCGGCCCGGGAGGCCGCAACGCTCGCACGGCAAAGGAACGAAGTGCAAAGTGCTACGTTATGCTCGCGAGTCTGACCAAGTAGCGCAGCACTCTCTTAGCAGCCCGCCAATGCGCAGGGTGGTGTCTCCCGGGCGCAACGTAGCGAGTCCGGATGCTGAGGGGGTACGGCAGGTACTCCAGCTCGAACTGCCTGTCCTCAAGGACGTCACAGCCAAGGGCACGCTCACCCCCGACGGACGGAGGACACGAAGAGGCAGAAAAGAGACCCGCACGGTAGGCACGACGGCAAGTAGCGGCAAAGCCAGCGAGCTCAGCTACTAAGGCAGAAGCAGTTGCAGCCGGAGAAGCATGTGCAATCAAAAGCGCGGCTAGACAACGAGGGATAGTCGGGGTAGCAGCACGAGCAAGGTCAGACACTGGGTCAGGAACTGCAAGAAGAGAAGACGGGGGAGGTAACGGCAGGACAATAGGCTCCCGAGTAACACGAGAGGTAGCAGAGGAGCCTGCACTAGACACAGGCACCCGATGCCTAGTCAGGGAGACGGGCAACGGGGAGTATCGAGCAGGAGCAGGCAGAGGGGGGTCAAGCGGCAACAGTGTACGAGACAGGTCAGGCGGCAGAAACAACAGAGGAGGAGTAGTACAAGTGGGCGTCGGCTCAGCAGAGGTAGGCGGGAGTCTGAGAAGGTGGTGAAGCGCCGACTCAGGTAGCGACGACGACGGCTGCTCCAAGAAGATAGGCCGTCGCGGCAGCGACTGCGACGCACCCCCAGACCCAGCACCTCCAGCGCCAGTACCTCCAATTCCACCAACAAGAGGACTCCTAACACCCCTAGAGCCAGCACCCTCAGCGTCACCACCCCCAACAACACCTGGTCCCCCGAAGTCAACAGCGACAAGCTGCAGAAGAGGCGAAGACGTCCGAGGCGGAAAACCCGGAGGTGTCTCCAAGCGCGGCGAGCGGCGAGAGGTCGCTGTGTCAGCAGCAGCAGGGTCACCCCCCTCAGTCGGTCCAGAGGAGTCAGAGGGGACTGTGCTAGTAGTCGCACAAGTATCGAAGCACGAAGTCTCTACCTGCAGCTGCCCGCCCCCAGAATCGCCTCCTCTATTGGCTGCTCCACCCCCGTCACTCCCGCCAGCTCCACTACGACCACCCTCGTCAGCTACAGTGGCAAGGTCTGACAGCGGAGGGAAGGGAAGCGGCAGCGCAAGACATCCTAGGGTGGCAGGAGAGGGGGGGATATGCACCTAACCACAGCGGTATATAAAGCATGAGCCGACGGCACGTGGCAAAAGTTGGCTCTCTGGTCGAGCGAGAGGTGAACGCGGACTGCAAGTTTGGCGGCGGCGTCGCGCGACATTTACTGCTTGTAGGCAACATGGTCAGCGCGGTATTGCTTCTGCACCTCCTCCCCAGCGGCAGCAGCAGGCTCAGCAGGAGCCTTGGGGGCCTGAAGAGACCCCGACATGTGCTCGAACAGTGAGACGTCGTGGCTAGTGACACTATGGAGGTACAGGTGCAGCCCCTCTAGCCAAGAGTCATACCATAGAGGGTTAGGCTAGAACAGTGGGAGTCGCCATAGCAGCAGGAATGGCAGCAGCAGCAGCAAGGGCGGCACGAGTGCAGGGGGCAGGGCAGCACTAGTGCACGGGGCGGCTCGGCTCAGCAGGGCGGCTCGGCAGGGCTGCTCGGCTAGGCGGCTCGGGCGGCAGCAGCAGCTTAGCAGCAGCGGCCACGTAGGAG